TAATATAAATGTAATTAATATGTAAATCATGCAAACCTCAGCTAAAGTAGGTAGTTGTACCATGAAATATAACCATTGAAAGCAAATTATAGTATTAAAAATACATGCATAGCCTCTTACTGACCAAGACAGTGTGCATATGTCAATAAGAATGCAATGAAACATAATGCATGCTGTTCCAGTTCATTGACATAGACTATTAGTCGGTAAATTCTGACTAATAGACATGAGCTACTTTTTATTTTGTTTCATGGTGTTCATGGTTCAAGTGTGCTACTGTAAGAAGAAAACAGAACAATGACTTTGTAATTACTTTACTGTATTACAAGAAGAAGTTAAATTATTTATTTGTGTTTTAATGTGTTCCATTTCATTTGTTCAACTTMAAGTTTCTTCTCTTCTAAAGCCATCCTTCTTTCTTCCAGCTCCAACTTCTTTTCCTTTAATTTGAAGTTGTCATGATGTTTCTGGGCAAGATATTCTAACATCTGACCCTWTCCACATCTTGTTGGTTTAAACTTTCCTTGCCCTAAAACGGTTTCAGTAAACAAAATACAATATATGTGTACTCATAGCCACAATAGCTCATTAAATTTTCAGTTTCTTTGTTGTTGTTTTCTTTAGAACAATTTACTAGTATACAGTACCTTTTTGTGGTTTCTTTTTGGTTTTCTTCCTTGGAGTTGATAGAGTGGAATCATCATCAGATGAMTCATCATCATCCTCATYATCATTATAATCACTAGAATCGTTATCATAAGTTTGTCTTTCTTCATTAGCAAAAAAAGAAAAAAAGGAAATAATCTAAATCAATTATAGGAAATTGCTCAACATCTGGGGCCAGTTGTATGGAGGGTGATTAGTAAATCCACTGTTCTGCAAATGCTAATTAAAATTGTTTGGGCTGTGGCAGCATAGTTACTAATTATGRTATATATCAGTGTCTTACTTTCTTGTTTTCCATGACTGGGTTGGAAAGCAAAGATCCGAAATCTATATATTCGTTTGCCCATACTTTTGTCTTAATTTTGTCTGATACTTTCGCGTCAATAGGCAGACTTGTTGACAGAAAAAGCCGCTCAGGCAAAGGCGAAATCTCACCTGCCAACGACTGGCTTACTTTATTTATGGCTTGGTTCATAATTCCAGAGGTCCCATCCTCACTTGTATTGGGATCTTTGTCCACTATGGCAGGCTTCTCCACCAGACCCGAAGTAGATGCTGTCTCCTTATCTGGTTTTAAACGGCGGGTAACCTCCTCGGCCTCCCTGGTTTTTAGGTTTTCCATCATGCTCGGTTGGAATGAGAAGCCACTGTTTGAGGATTCCTTGTCACTTTCCAATTCATCAATGCGCTGGCGCTTCTCCTCGACCTCCTTAGTCTGGTCGGTTTTATGCTTTGGAGGCATGATACTATATAAAAGAAATAACTGGAGGAACAAAAAGTCTCTGACAAAACTGTCAGACTGCTTGTAAACATCAACAAACGGGAACAAAACTGTTAACCCCAGTTGAAAATACAACAAATATGGGAACAAGACTGTTAACCCCAATTATATAAACATTAACATACGGGAACAAAACTGTTAACCCAGTTGCAAACGTAACAATTATTGGGACAAAACTGTTTCCCCAAATTATATTTATGTCAACATACGGGAACAAAACTGTTAACCCCAGTTGAAAGTATGGGAACAAAACTGTTAACCCAAATAATAAACGTCAACATACGGGAACAAAACTGTTAACCCCAGTTAAAAATATGGGGACAAAAGTGTTAACCCCAATTATAGTAATAAAAATGTCAACATACGGGAACAAAACTGTTAACCCTAGTTGAAAATATGGGGACACAACTGTTAACCCCAATTATAACAATAAAAATGTCGATATACGGGAACAAAACTGTCAAAAACCCCAGTTGAAAATATGGGTACGAAAGTNAGCAGCTCTCTCCTTTATATAATCCACAAGCTGGCGAGCAGTCTAGTCCATGTTTCCTGCATGTACATCTCATTGTTTTACAATCAGCTTTGCAATTGCACCTGATAATTTCAAGGAGAGACTTGTGTGCTGGGGGCAAGTCCGTCATAAGTGGAAGAAGTTTACCATCAGATAATTTCCATCCCCATTCAATTGGCTGCAGATTTGTATAACCTTTCCACTCTTGAACTTGAAAGAATACCCTTTTGCTGTGGTAAGCTGCAGCTGATGATGTGGGAGGAAGGTTCTGTGGTTCTAAAAGCGATGATAAATGCAATTTTCTGGCAAAATCGAGTAAACCGTAAAGCATCTAGCTTGTCGTCAGCTGTTCCGCCATACAGACAGACTAGTGCCATTTCACCTGCGACAGCAATATCTTCTTTGGTTGAGTCTTGATTCATGAATACGGCATGTTGGTGAAAGATGATGTTATTTTGAAATTTCTTTAAAGCAACAGCTTTGCCTAACCCATGGACTCGTTGTGTCAAATCCGAGTAGTGCATGCCAAAAAAAGAATATTTTTACATACCTTTAAAGTACAAATCATCCGCTTGATAGCATAGTAAGACCAGAAGATCAGTGTCTTCTCTAACCAGTGATGTTGTTTTGTTCTAGCGGATTCCACAGCCGTAAGAGGGATGAGCACATCAGCATCTCCTTCAGCATTCTTTACGGAAAAACCAGCAATCTGTAGCTTCATAATGAAAAAACACTATGTATCTCCAACAATACTTTATTATGAAAAAAACTAAATGTCCCAAGCTTTCGGACGATCGTCCATCATCAGGGTGATCAGAATAGCATAAAATTGTAATATATATAAGAAGATTAATTTACATGATAAAAGATTAAAAATAACAAATCAGAATCCATGAATAGAAATAATAACAATAACCCTAAAAAATGAATAAAGATGAGCAAATAATGACGATGGAATAACATACATACAATATTGTAAAAACAGTAAAACATATATATCTAAAAATATAATAAAATCGTAAACATAAGAATATATAATACTAATTAAATTAATGTTTTGTAAATCGGTGGCAATGTACGGCCGTTATCTCTATTTGCGATGGTGCTATTTTTGTCTTTCTCAATAAAACATGCCTCCTTCCATCTACAATGGGCCCAACGGTTCTCTCTGCAGACTATTTTTATTTCATCAAATGCAATGTTGTGATCAAGTCCATATACATGTTCCGCCAATGCCGAGTTCTCTGTTCGTAAATTGCGTACACTACTCACTACTACTATTTACGAACAGAGGTGGTCAGAAGAATGTCAAGGTTTTTTTCGAATTCCTTCGGAAAAGTTCCAGGAAAGACRACTGCAATGGCTCTATTACATAAACCGTGGCGATGTAGAAAGCCCACAAAAACAATGGATACCAAAGCATTCCGATCGCGTTTGTAAGAAGCATTTTTTGACAGGTATATTTTTGAATTTTTATGCTTGAAGTTCCCACGCTTTTACTTCTGAACTGCTATAATGACATATCGAATAACATTTCAGGTTCACCTSACGATGACCCCAGACATCCGGATCATTTTCCCTCGCTAAAAWTGGGAAACGCTAGATCCAGAAGTAAAGAAAAGCTTTTACACGAATTAAAGAGATAGGAACGAACGATCAAACGCGAACAAAGTAAAAAACAGCGTGTGGCAAATTCCACCAAAATGGAAATCGAAACATGTAACGAAGTGTACTGTGGCTTCATTATTGGATCAGAGTCAAATGCATGGGACGAATTCTTCCAAAACACTACTGAATCATCTAAGGCATCACAAGACCTTGTAAACCAAAGGCGTCTTACCAATCAGTTTAATGAATGRTGTGTTAATCTCACAAAAGAGAAGACATATCTAGAGGAAAAACTCAAAAAACAAAAGTTCTCCATATCTAACTTGAATGAAAAGCAGCTTAAATTTTTCACAGGTAAAATAAATTAAATTCTTTTTATTCATTCATGTATGATTACTTACATGTATTATTTATATTTTGGAGCTCTTGATTGTGTAAAAAAATGTGTCTACATTTGTAGGCATAAGAAGTTTTGCCATTTTCACTTGGATTGTAAGCATGCTTTGCAAGAACATGCAACTATCTGCTGTTGCTAAAACTTTGGATATATCTGATAAAGTTTTACTTATCCTCATGAAACTCAGACTTGGTTTATTACATAAAGACCTTGCTTACAGGTGACAATGTTTTTTATGCATTTGCTGTAAAGAAAGTATGTATTCAATTAGCTATGATTATTGTTACCCAGGGGTTGATTGGCTCATGCAAGTTCTTATTCCATAGATCCAAGGTTGAATTATTACTTTGTTTGTA